TGTTGATGTGGATTGCATCAGGATTTCCAAGTCTGTCCAAAGAAGCAGGTGGCTAGATTAAAAACAATCCTGGTACCAGGCAAATGAGTAAGACCCTGCCCAGAATTTTGGGGAATGACCTACAGCAGGGTTCTTTGTAGAGGCAGGTTATGACACAAATTAAACCTTTAAGTCACAGCCTGGATGCTAAAAAGCTGTCCTGTGGGGAATGGTTTAAACTGAAGGGTTTCTGGAGGGCTTATTCTAATGGCAGCAAGGGCACCTCACATTCATCTTAGACCTTTTTGCATAAGAATTAATTTCTAAAGGTAAATTGAATTTAGAGAGTTGAATTTCTTCCCCTCCTTAGCTTTGAACGGGATTGTTTCTCTCTTTTGAAAGATGAAAGACATAATGCTCAAGTGTGCACATCCTGTAGATAGAGAGTTCATTGAGTTCTCTTTGGTGCCTGTATAGATAACAGAGAGGTACCTTGCAAATACAGGGAGAAAATGACAGAGTTTACCAAAACCAGAGAGCCCAAGTGAATCGTGCCTGGAGGAGCCTTTCCATAAAGACAGCAAACAGGAGTCAATGAGGAGGAAAACTGCAGAACCAAAGGAATGGCTGTGCTGCGACGGGGAACAGGCTCCTGTCTGCTGAAGTGAATCTTGGGGCAGAGAAGCTGTCACTGACAAACTCCCAGACAGCAGCTGCCTCCCATTTTGGGCTACTGATCGCTCTGCAAAGATGTCATCTCTAAAATGGAAATGACCAAAACCAGGCAGCCCTTTAGATGGTTTCACTCTTTATGGCTTACTAATCGTTTTCTTTTTTTTTTTTTCTTAGCATGTTGTGTTGATGCTAATAAATTAAAATGCCAGCCGTCATGGGGAATTCCGTTAGCTGTCTTTCACTCAGATCTATTTCTTGTGTATTTTCACAATTATGCCAAACTTGCTTGCTTTGCAGACTAAAACATGTTTTCATTTTTTATACTATTTTCTCCCTCTTAGACCTCCTTTTATTGCATTTGACCTATAGATGAGTTGCAAACACTTTAATCAATCCAATCCATGTGCTTCAGGGCCTGACTGTTGTCTTGGTGCATATAACTGGCCTGAGCCCCAAAGTGAGTTTTCTGAAAAGCAGGCAAGTTAGTCACTTCAGCCATTCAGACTGAGGATAGAAGTCATACTTGGGCCAAAAAACACTGGTGTCTGCTCAAAATAAACAATTCTTTACATTTCCAGAAGGTGGAAATGCTAGATTCTGTTTTGGCCAAGATTGTGGCCTTCTTGGTAGCAGGCAGCCCTCTCAGGTCCCCGAGGAACAGCACTCTATCCTTCACTTCTGGACATATGTCTCTGAACACGTGCTGTTGGACATTTCCATTTGTTGTCTTTTTAGGATGCTTTAGTCTTAAAGCGGTTTAGGATGAGGGGCACTTCATGAAGAGCATTTGAGCTGGCAAAGTGCTTCTGAGCTGCTAAAGCATTTTAAAGCTCAATACTAAAGCGATTTAGCACTGAACTAAACTTTACAGCAGCTCAAAAAACGCATGGCAACTGGGGAGGTGGTAATTGCCATACCATGTGACTCATTTAGGTGGAAGAGTGACCTGTTCTGGATGCTTCAGAAAACAAAGCTGCAGCTACTAAACGTTTTTGTTCCTGGAGCACTGGGGTGGGGAATGTGAAGTTGCAAAGCAAGCAGCCATAGCACACACAAATAGGTGGAGAAAATAGGAAGCTTTTTCCTATTTCAATTTTAGTAAATGGGAAAACAAAACAAAAAAATGTAAACATTAATAAACAGTAAATGGGAAAAACAAAAAAATGTAAACATTAATAAATTTTGTCAGATGACTGGAAAACTGTATTGTTTTTGTTTTTAGGAGCTGCTAGAAAGCTCTAGTCTCCTGTTTCAGTCATGAACTCACTTCGTTCTGTGGAAGCTGTCCCTGTGTTGCAATAAGTTATTCAAGTAAAAGACGCTTCTCTTTTTCAGGCCTACTAGAACCTTTACACCTTCGCTGTAATAGTATCACCTCCAATCTCCCCATAAAATCCCACCTAAGACTAAACATTATCTAATACAACTTCAAAGGGTAGAATCATGGAAGAGCTCGAGAGAGGCCTTGTTTAGTGTGACCCAAATTCATCACCTCACTTTGGGATCAGATTTACCCAGCCTGTTTGACAGTCACTTGTCAGCAGCTGTCAGTAACTGTGATTAGAAACCATTAGTATGTCACTGTGTTGTTATTATGTAGTCTGAGTGATTCTCAAAACCAGTAAGGGTTTTTGTTAATGTAGTCTTGGATGTAAGATATATTATACTGTCTTGTTGGCAGAGAGTCTCTTGTCCATTAAGAACTGAAGTAGAGTCTATTTCACACCTTTCCTTCAAGCTTCCTCTTGAGAAGTAAAGTTTTCTCTTAATTGCTGGCAATTCCATTGAAAATAGAGTTCCCTATGCAGCAGCATACATAGTGCAGTTGATCTGTTTGTATAGATAGATCATTATCTGTTCAACGACTAAAGAAATACTACGATCCGTAGAGCATCACTTTATACAACATTGCATAAGTAACATTGCTTGCAAAGAGATAGACTAGGTTGTCTATTGATTTGGTATAGAACAAGCATACTATAGTACTGAAAAAGTCATGGAATAACATGACTTAAATGTTCAGTGGTATCTTCTTCCACTAATGCTGTCACTTCCAGTGGCCCAGGTTTTGAATCATCGTGAGAACAAGGGTTTGATTCCTTAATAAGGTTTCACTCTGCCAAGTTATTCTAGTTTTTGTTGCTGTGGTATCTAACCTGTCTTTTTTTTTTTTCAGATGTATGTTAAAAGCAATTTGATATTTCTGGCAAAATCAGGTAAAAAAAAATCACATGTTATTTCATCTGAAATTTGAATCTGCTTCCCAAAGCTGAACTTTAGAATATCAGTGATGTAAATTTTGCTCAATGGACATATTTTGTACATAGTATCTGGCTAAATATGCTGTCTGCATTGGTTGTTTCACTTCAAAAGAAATATGGAATATATTAACTTGGACAAATATTTAGCTTAATAGCCTAATACTAAGAATAGCATGTGACCTTATGTCAGAAGAAGATACTGCTCTTGATTAACTGACTTATGTTACTTACATGCAGAAAAATTCTTTTTTGGGCTACTCAAAAATTAGCTTGGGCTCTGATTTGCAGATCAAAATTAGATATTTAAGGTAAATACTATTTTCATAATAATTAGCATATTAAAAACCAACATCTGTAAAAAAAGATCTCTGAGAGAATAGGGAAAGTGTACTCCTGATACATATATTAGCTGGGATTTGAGTGGAACTCAAAATCTTGCAGCAGGGCACGTATGAAATCATACACACCAGCTGTCCAGCGTTACATTCATATATGGCTCGTCTTTGATCCTATTGCACAAATCCTGGCTGTACAGCACATTACAGGGATGAAGACAAGTTAATCTCTACCTTTAGAGTCTTACCCTTAGCAAACCCTTCTTGGCAGCAGGCAGAACTACTCACCCAGTACTAATTCTGTCTCAATTTATTAGATGAGAAGTTACAAGACAAACTTGGTGAAACAAAAGCATTTGCAAATCTAATCATGCTATATGCAATTTCAAAATGTAACAGTTCTGTGCTATTTATTCATTCATTTTGGCAAAATACAGATCATCTTATGTTTAAAATAGACTTGTTGGAAGACCTATTTTTTTGTTAAATACATTAAGATGTCCATAATTAATAGTGCTTTGATTTACATCAAACACATAGGTAATTAGGATTTTTAAAGATAACATTCTATTTAGGTTTACAGTAGCTTCACAGAATCATTTTAAGAAGCTGAATATTGTTTAAGATGTTCAAGTAAATTTATGTCAGTGAAGTCAGTTAAACATATACATATAACATGATCATGTATACATGTTTCTGAGTAAGATATATGAGGAAAAGAATGCATAGTCCCATTTAATTTTTCATTTCCTTTTTATAAAAAGTTCAGAAAAACTCCTGATTACTTCAGAAACTAGGTGATGTTTTAAAGGATAAACAAATATTCCACTATTTTTAGTATTCTAATATTGTTTACTATAATATCAAGGGTTCTTGTCCTGAAGCTATACTGGAAGTCCTAAAGCCAAAGATTATACTTGTTCAAGAACCTACAGTCAACAGAATGAATGACTGTTGGAAAGCAAGAACACAGTTATACCTACACAGGAGCACGAAGTATGTCATCTTAATTGGGGTAAGGTACCATCGGAGAGGCCGTATGGCTGAATTCTAATCCTAGATACGTGGGTGCAGACTGCTCTGAGACTGAGATTAGAGTGTAATCCTAAAACTGGATTGAGAACGATACATTCCCTCAAGAAAGGAAAATAACTATATTTACACTGTGTGTGTCAGCCAGTAGAA